CATGTCCCATCCGCGCCGGAGATCGAGTTTGGGTCTCCTCGGAAGAGTTTGCATTGGAACAGGATGTCTCATGCAAACTACTCCCTAAGTGGTTTGGCCCATGGACAGTGACATCAGCTGCGGGCGATGAGCCCGATGGCCCTTCATTTGTGATCGACATTCCTGAGCATCTGACGGTCCATCCAGTCTTTCATGCGTCAAAGTTGGCAACATATACACCAGCTAAGAGCGATGACTTTCCCGGCCAACGATCGCAAGACCCTCCTTCTATGGACGGTCATCAGGAGGTTGACCGCGTCATCTTAGATCGCAAGTATGGCAGCAAGCCGCGCCAGTACAAAGTTACATTCAGAGCATGCGATCCCGACGACACTCGGTGGATTTCAGGAGCAGATTTGAAAGCGTTTGCACCGTTGATCTACGATCACTATGAGCGACAGAGGTGAGCCAAGGGACCTTCACGACCTGCCCCTCCCACCCGGACAGTGGTCCCTCCCTCAGACAGACAGCTTCGCCGTCGTAGGTTAGCTCGGTCTTTCAAGGAGGGGGGGGTGTGGCATACTGTGCAGCCACACGGGCCCTGCAGGGCCCGTCCCAGACCTTCAGCCTGTTTTCCTACAGGGAAACTTCCAGGCTCTTGCCTGGATGCTTCCTTCTGACAGGGCCTACACGCCCCAGCCTATTTCCCTAATAGGGCCTACAGGCCCCAACCTATTTCCCTGATAGGGCCTACAGGCCCCAGCCTGTTTCCCTACAGGGAAACTTCCAGGCTCTTGCCTGGAAGCTTCCTTCTGACAGGGCCTACAGGCCCCAGCCTGTTTCCCTACAGAGAAACTTTCAGGCTCTTTCCTGGAAGCTTCCTTCTGAGAGGGCCTACAGGCCCCAGCCTATTTCCCTACAGGAAAACTTCAGGGAACTTCCAGGCTCTTGCCTGGAAGCTTCCGCAGGGTCTAGGCCAGGGAGGCATTGGCACGGCCAGCCTCCTGCACGGGCCAACACTATAAAGGACTGGCCCGCCCTGCAGGAGGTAGTGGTCAGTAGGCACTTGTAGTCTTCAGGATTTCGGCCGCAGCACTTAGGAGGAGCGCTGCAGTAGTCTTCAGCGCTAGGCAGTAGTGGTAGCGCTAGCAGTAGTCTTCGGCGCTGGGCGCCATAGCCATAGTGGTCGTCTTCAGCGCTGGGCGCTATAGGGCAGGGTAGCAGTATCGGAGAGAGACACTGGCGGAGGCCAGTTGTACTTATCTGTGGCACCATCGCTCCAGCTCCATCCTCGGTGTACCTGCATCAAGACGCCAGTTTTACAGGTTAGTATTGGACTGAGAGAGAGAGAGAGACCTTCTTCTTCCTCTTCTAAGTCCACCATCTCTTCTTCCCCTCCCGCTGCCTRCCTCTCAGCATCTATGGGCTACGAGATGGAGCTTTGACACGGGACATGACGACATTGTCATCAGACTTGATTCCGGGATACAGACATTCGTTGAGGATTATTTGTGACGTGTGACGCAGACTTGGAGTAGACGACATCTCCCATCTTCTCCTCTCCCTCTGTCTCTTCCCTTCCCCCTTCGTCTGTGTATGTTCGGGTCTGGCGCTATCTATTCTTTGTGAGCGCCAGCCCTTTACACCACTGTATGATGATGATAAATGTCGGGACTGTACGGCAACATTGATTGAGTCGGATCATTGATAAGTCTTCCGCTCGCCATCTTGTACTTTGAAATRAAAGGTCGGTCCTTGTTCTGTTTTGCATGATCTAGTATGCAACAATCAGTCATATGAGACCAGATAGTCTTGACCTCGAAGCTATAGCAGATTTACATCACAAGAAAGAACGCACCAAGAGTTCATAGTTGACAATGCTGGAGTAGTCCCATCACTATCAACGTAGAACCAGAGTTGTTATCCCATTTGGTGTTTGGTGCCCTGACTACATGTGACAAATCCTATCTAGCTTATACTACGAAGCTGACGGACGACGTCAACARCTTTCGCGAAGTACGTGCATGTGACGACCAATGTCGCATGTTTCTGGCAACAAGTATGTTTCTCGTATTGCTCACTACCTGGACCCCCCTTCCACTTACAGATGCCATGTGTACCCTCAGACCATCACGCATCTAATAATAATAATAATAATAAAGCATAAAAATACAAAGAAAGATAAGCAGTAGCGAGATGTCAAATCCAGATGACCATCACATTGGGAGCCAGATAGTCCCACTGTGTCCAGAGAGCACCATTGCACCAATAATACCCCAACTGAAAAACCAATATCGACGAAAGCGCATTCTCACATAGCTATTACAGTCTACGAGTTGACAATGCAACTGTTGACATCAGCAGCAACCCGAAGTATTTTGAAGATGTCGCCCATCGGACCATCGTTAATACAAAGTAAGTGCCCCTACATCATCATCATCATCATAGACCCCTTRTTGGCATCCTAGCTGATGCTCAGCGCCCAAATCATTAATGACACACCCTTCCTAGCCTATACTACGATGCCATAACTGATGTCGGCAGTTCTGAGCAGGTAACGATAATTGTCGTTCTACTCGAGTTTCAAGGTATGTATCTCGTATCACACACTACCTCGACCTTCTTACACGGTCACCGCATGTACATAAGAAAGATCGTGGGTCTGATCTTTAAAATAATAATAATAATAATAATAATAATAGTAATAATAATAATAATAATAATAATAATAATAATAAAGAAAATAATAATAATAATGATCTTAATAATAGTAATAATGCCAGGAAGATGAGCAATAGCGAGCTTTCATACATCAATAACATTGTACACGAATGATCAGATAGTTGGGTCCCCGAACCAAGGCAGAGTAGCATTGCGAGTTCCATCAAATAAGAGACCGACCAAAGCTCACAATCGACAATGTTGGAATAGTATCTGCATTATTAACGTGTATCCTATCTGGCGCTTAGCGCCCATACTATATGTGGCATATCCTATCTAGCCTATACTACGAATCCAAAGGATGACATCAACAACATTCCTTAAGTACGAGCAGATGGCGACCACTGTCGCACGCATCAACCATCAGGTATGTCTCGTGCTATGCTCACAACCTCGTTCCCCCACTCACGATGCATCATACACCCAAGAACCACCATCCGCCTCCTCTCCTTTCCCCTTCTTCTCC